TGACCTGCCTTGCGCGCTGCTTCTACCCACTGTCGAGTTACAGAGTCTACGACATAGAGTACGCCCAACTTGTGTGTTCCCGGAGCCTTCTTGAAGTGTGTATAGATCTTCTGGATAAGAACGGATTCATTCTGCAAAAGAAAGAATTTCTGTCAGCTTGCCATTCACTCTTATGATAGCCCTTGTCAATCCAAGCACGAAGGGATACAATACCTGAACGTTTGCGGTGCAAAGCGACGTTATACTGTTGATCTTAGATCCTGAGACACCAGGAGGCTTAAGGGCAAGCATAGACTGGAGATAATTGTCCAGTTCTGCTACAGCAGACGACATTGTTGATAGTATGTATTAGAGGGACCGGATTCCAGTACGGAGATATGGTTGGTAGATATTCCCAGGAAGCTCTTTGACAAAACCTATTGCTTCAAATAATATAGTATAGGCGTCTGGGTGTATCAAGGGGCCAACGAGTCGTTTCTACTGGGAGATCCAGTTCAGTCAAGAAGATAGTGATTCTTAGTGATAGCTGCTGTGCTTTTGGATTTCAAGACGTAGAGGACAAGTTCCTAAGCGGACTTCTGGTCGTAGCACTACAGAATTCCACGAGCGGACTTCTGGCGACCAGGGGGGGCTTCCGCCTACAGCTGGAACACAGCCAAGCGATGGTGTCCAGGAGTTTTGCGACTCGCGAGCGAGTATGTGTACAAGGTACGTCCTAAGGTGAAAGTTGTCAGGCAAATCAAAAGAAAGGCAGATGTGATAGATTACAATGTAGAACAAAAAATGCAATAAAGGAGTAGATAGTGGTTGACGTGAAGGTGATGCTGTGAAGTGAAAGAAGTATTAAGGAAGGAGTGATTTTCCGTAGACAAGGCAGTTAGTCAGGTGAGGAGAAAAATCATAAGTTGCGCTAGCCCTGAATTGGTAAACCCACAATTTCACCTTGAAATTTCGGTTGGGGGCCTAAGGCTTGAAACATATGTCACGTGTTGATCGGGCCCCAAAAGCCTACTTACTAAGCTTCAATGATGACCTCAGGCCGGTGAATCGAATGTGGTACTCCGTACGGAGTAACTACTAATTGAGTTAAGGAGTTTTCCTTCTGGGTGCCCACCCACAGGGGGCCGAAGAATCTGCAGTGGTAAAGTACGGAACAATTGAAGCATACTACAGAGCATGGAGTACTGTTGGTAGCAAAACAATATCTGCCGCTTACTCTGTATCTCTAGCAAGGCAATTTAACATAATTTATCGGCACCTTGTTCATACCCTGACAAGTACTCAATTGGTTATCTGATTCTCGGTACGGAGTGCTGCAGCTACTACCTTAGTGATGGGTCCGACCCAAACTCGGGTAGCGGCCGACGTCACTAAGCCATGGGAACTTCGATTGAAAGTGAATTACTCCGTTTACGGATGGAATGCGTGCCGAGATCGTCAGTTTTGCTGGCGAGCGACCGCACAGTCTATATAGACAATATCAAATGGAATTATGTGATTTCAAGGATGTACTGCAGACCTTGGGGCAAAGGAATACAAGGGTGACCATGTCGGTAAAATCTATCATAACGAAGAGTTTGGTAAAACCAATAATGAAAGGAATTAGGGGGGGAAACAAACAAGAGCGAGAGCTTGCTCTGCCTAGGTAATCAATTACTCCGGTACTCCGTCCCGCGCAACGGAATCTGGCGGGCGAGGGATCACAGATCGCCGATGGAAGGGATTCGGTAGACCGGGCCACCTTCCTGGGCATAGCATTACGGTACAGTACGGAATCCCGCCATTGCCTTGCCTCGTTGCCGACCTTTACTGTACCGCCCATGTACCGGCTGTACTGTTACGGTCAGATGGGAAAAAAAAAAGAGCTTCTCCCGAAACCTCAGCATCTTTTCTTCTTCTTTCTCTCTATCACTATCTTAATATACCCAGAGCCTCTCCATTCATCAATTATACTCAACCGCCCAACCAAGGTTGTTTGATTCGACATGGCTTCTTCCTTGAGACTCGGAACTTCTGTTCTTCGTTCCACCTCTCTCGCCGGCAAGCCGGTTGTGCAGTCCGTTGCCTTCAATGGTTTGCGCTGTTACTCTACTGGCAAGGCCAAGGTTTGTCATATTGTTTATATTGCTACCGATTCTTGACTTGGCTAACTGAAATGACTTTGAACTATGCAGTCCCTGAAGGAGACATTCGCCGACAAGCTCCCTGGCGAGATTGAGAAGGTCAAGAAGCTCAGGAAGTATGCACAGCACTACAGTAATACCTTGAGCACCAGTCCATTTGCTAACCACGCCAATCAACGCTTGTAGGGAATATGGTAACAAGGTCATCGGCGAGCTCACCCTCGACCAGGCCTACGGCGGTGCTCGTGGTGTGAAATGCCTCGTGTGGGAAGTATGTCATGCGCAACGGAGTCAACAGCTATCGATGAGGATTTGCTAATTTTAGTTCAGGGTTCTGTTTTGGATTCCGAGGAAGGTATCCGTTTCCGTGGATACACCGTATGTATCATCCGGTTCTCTCTTGTTGGGGAACATCATATACTCATGGTTACATAGATCCCCGAATGCCAGAAGCTGTTGCCCAAGGCTCCCGGTGGCGAGGAGCCTCTTCCCGAAGGTATACCGATCCCCTAGAAGATGATTGTGCACCTTGCTAATATGCCGTAGGTCTCTTCTGGCTGCTGTTGACCGGCGAAATTCCCTCTGAGCAGCAGGTTCGCGACCTGTCTGCTGAGTGGGCTGCTCGCTCTGACCTCCCCAAATTCATTGAGGAGCTCATTGACCGTTGCCCCAGCACTCTTCACCCCATGGCGCAGTTCTCTCTGGCTGTCACTGCCCTTGAACACGAGTCCGCTTTCGCCAAGGCCTACGCTAAGGGTATCAACAAGAAGGACTACTGGAACTACACCTTCGAGGATTCCATGGACCTCATTGCCAAACTCCCTACTATCGCCGCGAAGATCTACCGCAACGTCTTTAAGGACGGCAAGGTCGCCCCTATCCAGAAGGACAAGGACTACTCCTACAACTTGGCCAACCAGCTCGGCTATGGTAACAACAATGACTTCGTTGAACTCATGCGTTTATACCTGACCATCCACTCTGACCACGAGGGTGGAAACGTCAGCGCTCACACCACTCACCTTGTTGGTAGTGCTCTGAGCTCCCCTATGCTTTCTTTGTCCGCTGGTCTGAACGGATTGGCCGGCCCTCTTCATGGATTGTATGTTTATCCCTCGTTTTAAGGACGAATCGGAAATAAATAGAAAGACGAAAGGATGCGAGAGTCACTATAGCTAACATGTTTACTTGAACAGGGCGAACCAGGAAGTGCTTAACTGGCTCACAAAGATGAAGGCAGCCATTGGCAACGACCTCAGTGACCAGGCCATTAAAGACTACTTGTGGTCCACTCTCAACGCTGGTCAGGTTGTTCCCGGATACGGCCACGCCGTCCTCCGTAAGACCGATCCTCGTTACGTTTCTCAGCGCGAGTTTGCCCTTCGCAAGCTTCCTGATGATCAGATGTTCAAGCTCGTCAGCCAGGTTTACAAGATTGCTCCTGGCGTGCTGACTGAGCACGGCAAGACCAAGAACCCCTTCCCCAATGTCGATGCTGTAAGTCTAGCGTGCATTTCCAGATCATCCGATTACAAGCCAACGAATTCTGACCTATTTCCAGCACTCTGGTGTCCTTCTTCAGTACTACGGCCTGACTGAGGCCAACTATTACACCGTCCTGTTCGGTGTCTCTCGTGCTCTTGGTGTCCTGCCTCAGCTGATCATTGATCGCGCCCTTGGTGCCCCCATTGAGCGCCCCAAGTCCTTCAGCACTGAGGCTTATGCCAAGCTTGTCGGTGCCAAGCTGTAATTTTGTAGAATGACGCGAGAAATCGGAGGGGGTTTTTTATGATTAAGCACACCATTTTGTATTTTTCCCTTACTATTTTATTAGACTAGGATGTGACGAGTGCTGTGGTTAGTTTGATTAATGTATGATAGGACCTGGTCCGAGCGGGCCTTGTAACAGCGCTCCAATATCGTGCCGATCTTTTGACTAGATGGCTTCTGCCCTATTCCAGCTCATGCGTGATGAAAACAATCACCACTACAAATTGGAAACAGACAACTCTGCTCTCCAAATCCCTTTCTTTCTATAGATGGGAAGAGCCACGACTCAGTCCGATGCAAGGGATCAGAAAGAGAAGGACGGGATGTGAAACTGATAAAAATAATATTAAGTAGCAATAATAATAATGAAGCAGCCGCCAATACACAAGTACAGCACCGATGCATTAGTGCGGTTCCCTTTGAATCACCTGTGATTTCCGAGGTTTATCTGACATGCGCTTGCTGTGTAATGATCTCACAGCTCATGTCTATCACATGAATACCTATCTAGGTACTACATACCGTACTGTAAGTCTGTAACCTGGAATTAATACTACCTAGTAGTATCACAGTCGCTCGCATACTGGATAAAGCTGTCCCTCGAATAGGTAAAAGAAACATACAAACAAGATAAAGAAAATAGTGTTATGAGAATGCGGTACCTTCCACCGGACCTGGGAAGAAGAACAAATAATATAGAAGTACGGAGTACACCATACATACATTTAGGTAAGGTTCAGCATACTAATATTTTATTTTCAAGGCCGGTACACATACAATTAGTATAACCCGTAGTAAATGTGAGTAGCGAGTTGCCAGTGGCTGTTTGTTTACTCTGTACATCTTTGAGGTATCTGGGGCATGAGCCAGGAGGTTGAGAGGAATTTGAGACTAGGATCGGGACGGCTCAACCATTTCTGTAAATTGCAGCGTCCCACTGCAGGACAGCTGAGCCAAGAATAGGTAATGTTGGGGGGCACCCGATTTGCTCCGTTGGCTCAACTGAAGCCAATTACACCGCCGGACCACACTGGGCCTAGTGCCAGGACTCAGCCTAGAAATGCTCTAATTAGGTTTAGCGTCTCCCCAATGTCCCCGACGTCGGTTTTGTTTTTGCAGTTTAAGGGGACGGCAACTGGCCTTAGGCCGTCGAGTGCCTAGTCGGGTCTAGCAACTAGTTAACTTGGAGTACGTACGCCGGGTAATCCATCCTCCTGGACTTTATATTTCCACTCTTTCCTGTGCTGTTTGCCCATCACTGCTTCTCCTTTCCCCTCTACTTTATCGGCCACTTAAATCGTCCCCCGTTTGCCAACCCACGACCATTCCTAGCGCTTGAAGTTCGATTGAAAGCAATCGTTGCTCCTGACGTTCCCATTGCAAACAACAGTCGACTTCACCTGATCCCTTAGGCGACGAAGCCCCCAACATCCCTTGGTCAGGGCCCCTTTCAGCGCTCCCCAAGGTCAGAGATGTCTACTACCACAGCTGAGATGGCCACTGCCGGCCACAAGCTCGAGAAGAAGCCCGTCAAGTTCAGCAATCTGTTGCGTAGGTGCCACCCAACATTATAGATAACGATTTGGTTCTGATAGTTTTTTGTATAGTCGGTGCAGGATTGAATATGTTCGAGTAAGTAATGCGGCTTATACCCTCCGTCCACCATGAAGTGAAAAGGGAGAGATCTTCGGTACTGACATGATTACTTAGGGTCACCACTTTGGGACAGGTATAATATTTCGGCATACCCAATGAAATTTGGTGATATTTTTCTAATGTTTCATTTAGCCGCTGGAAGTGATCAAGACGACCATGGCCGCCAATCGAGGCGACAGTTTCGCCAGCGCTATGGGTCGGATATGGGGTCGTGGCGGGATCCTCGGTTGTAAGTAGCTTTCTTTCCTGTTATCCGACTAGTGTGGGGGCTGCAGTTTCTGACATGGGATGTCTCTGCAGATTATCAAGGTCTCATTCCGTGGGCCTGGATTGAGGCCTCCACCAAAGGCGCCGTTCTCCTTTTCGTCGCGTCCGAGGCGGAATTTGGCGCCAAGGTGCTCGGTGCGCCAGACTTCCTCGCTGGTATCTCAGGAGGTATGGCGGGTGGTATTGCCCAGGCATATGCCACTATGGGTTTCTGTACCTGTATGAAGACGGTCGAGATCACCAAGCACAAGATGGCTGCCCAGGGTGTAAAGCCTCCAAGCACCTTCGCGACTTTCATGGATATCTACCGCAAGGAGGGCATCCGTGGTATTAACCGCGGTGTAAATGCGGTTGCTATCCGTCAAACTACAAACTGGGGTTCCCGTTTCGGCCTTTCTCGTCTCGCAGAATCAGCAATCCGCAAGGTGACCAACAAGGAAGAAGGACAAAAGCTTGGTGCAATGGAGAAGGTCATAGCCTCTGGTCTTGGTGGTGGCCTCTCTGCTTGGAACCAGCCTATTGAAGTCATTCGTGTCGAGATGCAGAGTAAGAAGGACGACCCCAACCGGCCTAAGAACTTGACCGTTGGCAAAACCTTCAAGTATATCTACGAGACCAATGGTCTTAAGGGTCTTTACCGTGGAGTTACTCCCCGTATAGGACTAGGAATCTGGCAGACCGTCTGCATGGTGGCTCTTGGTGACATGTGAGTTGACTATTCCCCAAGGTGTGCAGGACTAGTTGTAGTTTTCGGGCCAAGGTTACCATCCCCCGAAAACACAGGTTGTCTGATCACCAGTTCCCCGATCTTCATGTGATAGCCGAGGAGCGGAGTTTGGCTAACCTGTGGGTCTCCGTCGTACCGAATAGGGCCAAGGAAGCAGTCGAAAAACTGACGGGCGATCAAGTTACCGCTAAGCACTAGAGAAGGTTTGAGATACCCTTCTACTATGCACGGCCCAGGAGTGATTGGGTAATGGAGTCTCGTACTTCCATCGGATGGAGTTGCCATAGATCACGTGCATCAAGTATTGAGTACTTTGAACCCTTGCTACTGAGTCATATTTCCGCCTATAATAGTACCTATGAGATAGTAGTCAGCACAGATGGTGCTAGTTTTACTTTCCAAGGATCATTAATCCATTTTAAACTCATATATATATGCTGTTTTTTTGTGCTTCCAAGTTGAAGCCAAAAGACCAGATATGCAGTAGTCCACTTAGCCTATCCAGGTAAATCACGACGTTTCACGCGTAAATATTCAGTAGTGATAATGTAGGATGCTATGAGCATCTAAATACTACTTACTGTCTCCTCTGAAAAAGGAGCAGGTTCTATGTAATGTTGGAACATGTTTCGCCATTTCCTATGTATTAATGGATCTTATTGGTTGACTTACAGCATGACACTTTCATAGGCAATAGAAACCTATAAATAAAAGTGGAAGAGAACTACAGAAATTGAGAACACAATCCATATAATAAAATACAGCCCCGCTGAGTCTTCATGGCCAGAGACAGTACAAGCTAACATCAGTGACCATGATGGTGTGATTCCCTATTATGGATGCTCCGCAAGTGGAGGTGTCCCATTCAAGTTCACTGGTCACCAACAGAAGAGTACTAGTAGGGAAAAAGCACCATTCATTATATGGATGTGCTACTACAATTGTGCAATGAGTTGGGTAAATACTCTATACATTGATAAAAATTATCCACATTATAATGTATATACGCCCTAAAGTTTGACATGATAAAAAATGACTGTATTGTTTACGTTTGTATTGATTTCTATAGCCTTCCATATTATTACCATAGCGTCAAACACTGCCAAAGGCGGCCCAAGGACCTAGAAATTTCCTCAATCAATCTCTCCTGGGAGGATAACTCTAGAGAAATATAGCACATAAACCCATACTACACTGTTATGTGAAGAGTATTGGATAAGGTACAATTGTATTACAGTCACACAACTACAACCACGTCACAAAAGAAACATCTGCGGAGACTGATCTAGACACATGGGAAGGGGGTGATGCCTTTTTTTTTGCAAAGACAGTCTAATATGTATTGTATACACTTTAAACGGTCAGACCAAGGTCCTCGCCGTAAGGAAGCTGGAAGAGGTCTCCAACAGAGGCGACGGAGGCCTTGCCAGAGAGGAAGTTCTTTGCGGCCTGTCAAAGACAATTAGTCATCTTCCTGTTTTCAACGATACCAACGCAAAGTGAATATGATATACTTACATCCGTAACCTGGGCCTCCGTAACGGCGTCAATGCTTTGAGCGATTTCGCCGATCTGGTAAGGCTTGCCGCCGCTGAGAAGAGCAGAACCAGTAGCCTCAAGACCGGTTTCAAGGTTCTGAGCCGATTCAAGAGCACGGAACTTCGCCAAAGCGATTGCCTTTTTGATGTCTTCGCTAGCAACTTCGCCGGCGGCAACCTTCTTGAGGGCATCCACAGCATTCTTGCTAGCTGAAGCAACATGATCGGCCTTACCAGAAAGTGAAATGGTGAAAAGGCCAGCATCAGAGTAGGTGTGGCTCTTGGTAGAGGCACGGACTTGGGAGAAGCCCTGAGTACTCTGAGCCAGGAGGGAGAAGCCAGGAGTCCACTTGATAGTGGACTCACCACCCAGGAGGGCAGCAAGAACAGAAGCCTCAGGCTTGTAGCCAGAGGTGCCGAAAGCAGCGGAGCCAGGGAATGCAATGACAACGGCGTTACCGGCTTTGGAAGAGATGCGCTGCTCACCGCCATGGTACTTGGAAGCTGCGCCGGGCTGGAGCTGATACTGACTGGAGCTGCCAGAACTGGGGAGTTCCTTGAAGAACTGGCCAACCCACTTGGAAAGATCGGCAGAGTTCGAGCCACTGCCAACAAGGGCAATGTTGGACTTGGCATAAGCCTGCTGGGCGAACTCGGCGAGGGCTTCAGCCGAAAGGTATTTCTCGAAAGGAGTAGTGGTAGAAGGGGTAATGCTCTCACCCAGGCCGCGGTGGAAGGCCAGAGCGTGAGCAGCATCGACAGCCTGCTGCTCAGGGTTGGCGGCAAGGGCTTGTTGTCTGAGCTTGAGGTGCTTGATGACGACCTCGTTCAATTCGTGGGCTGATGAATCTAATTAGACCCTCCATCGGAGCTGATATGACCACTCTGGCGACATACCTGCAAACTTTGACTGAGAAGCAACCTCTGCAAGCAATTCGGCAAAGTAAGGAAGATCGTTCGAGAGAAACTTGGCCTTGAGGACAACATTTTCACGCGAGTGTGTAGAAGAAACTTCACCGCCGAGCAGTTCAACCTCCCGGTTAATCCGCAACGCCGACCGTTTGAGTGTAGACTATCAATTGATGAAAATCTCGTCAATTCCCATCTCGCACAGTAACGCGTAGCCAGTAAGAGTGGACATTGAGTGCCGGAACTAACCTTGAAGGCGAATTGTTCGAGAGCATCGGAGAAACCTGGGAAAGGCTGGTGACGAGGGCCGGCCTTTGCAACCAACGCCAGGGTTGCTGTAGGGCCTGCTACTTCTCTATTGGCAAGCTTCACGCCAGCAGCCTCGGTGACATCGTACTGAAGGCCTGGGGTCGCAGCAGAGGCCATGCTTCGACGGCTGTTGATGCCGGCAGCAGAGCACTGCTTCTGGAGCGCACGGGGCGCATTTCGGCTGAAAGTAGACCGCGACAGCATTATCGCATGTGCGGAATATAAAATATGTGAGGTGGAAGATAGGAGGCCGAGAAGCTCGACAGCAATTGGAGAGGGTGGGGTGAGAGGGAGAGCAGAAGAGTGCTTCTGACTGTCGTTGGGCGGGTTGGAAACGATGTCTGAAAAGCTTCAAGATGCCGGAGCCTTGATTACTCTCTCTCTGATTGGTCAGAATGGCGAGTCCGGGCGGAACCGGCTTTTCCTCGCCCTCCGTGTCAGCTGATGTCACATGATAGTAGGCTGCACGTGAGCCCCGGCGAAGCATTGCGATAAGAGAAAAAAAAGTAGGACAGAGAGGGGGAAAAGGTAGCTTGCGTCGTTTGCTCTGCAGCCAGTTTACGCTTCTTCTATTTATTAGCTGGCCGATACCAATTCCCTATGACTATCTGGCGGTGACCGCTATTTCCTTCTAGAGAATTGAAGCTGGTAAATTCTCTAGAAGTCTCGAGCTAATATGACTTCCCAAGTATGCGACTGCTCCATCTACATAAGTCTCACGCATTAACCTGATGGATGGCAGTATGCTGGAGAGCTCTGTGCGCTCCTTGTCGAAGATAACTTTGGGGAACTGTTTGCGGTAGGTTTGCATTTGGACACCTATCAACTACTTTTCCACTCTTGCCTGGAACCTTGGTGAGGAGCGAGAAGCCTGATGTGGCTGACTCTTATGTACCTCGCGGACACAGCGCATTTTCTCGACACTAAACCGCTATGATCGACTTTCCTTTCCCCGGCTGAAATTCTACTCCCGTCTCTCCAACGCCCAGCTTCGTCATGGCCTCGCTGCTATGATTCAACAACACCTTGTCTACCACTACACGTCCTACGATGACGGTATTACGTACTACGAACCCAACATGCAATCCGCATACTATCTCATCCGATCCGGGAAGATTTTGGAGCTTATAGAACATCGATTGGGAAAATATGCTGCCACTGTTATGTCGACGATTATGTTTCTTGGCCATGCGCAAGTCGGCTATCTTGAAACCCTTCCGGCTCTAAGACCTTCGAATTCCGATCTAGATAGAGCTGGCGAGGAGCATGAGGTAATTCAGGAAGCCGAAGAGCATCAAGGAGAGGAAACACACCAGGAAACTGACGAACATGGGGAAGCTGAAGACCGACCGAATGGGCTCAATAGCGGTTATACTCCTACTGAACATCCAACACTTCTTCATCCGACTTTAAAGGCCTTGGCAGGACATGGTTACTTATTACGTGTCAGGGATGCTCAATTTCAAAGCTATGCCGACAACGCTTTGGATGCGGAGCGCACAATCAAGTCAAGACCAGACATTAAAGCCCTCAAGGGAAAGAAACTAGAGGAGGCTGTTACAGAGGGGACGCTAGAATTGCTCAAAGAACGGCTGGACGGAGATCTCACTCGCGGGTTGATGTTTAATGGAGTACCCCGAGGAGCTAAACGAAGACATACCACTGGAGCTACCGGGGCACCTAATAAAAAGGCGCGAGTTGACTATGCTGCTGTCGACGAGGATGAGGACGGTGAAGAAGAAAACGATTGGTCAGACGATGAGTTTGGTGAAGACACAATACCCATGGAGGTAGGCTTTCCCTTCCCTTAAGCTTTCAGGGCCCCTTTGGGGCGGTTGTTCTTTCCATAGGAGAACTGATGGAATGGTGTTTAGTCTGGTATCACTGTACGCATAAATTATGAAAAATTGGATGTCGCTCTCCGGAATCGCCGTTTTTTGGAACTTGCAGAGCGGGACTCGTCTCCTGTGACAGCCGAAGTTTACGAATGTCTTCTACGACGTATCGAATACCAGACAGCAAAATGCCGAGATACTACTGAAATCCCTCGCGAGGGAGAGGAGGGTGAACAATATTCTGTGCCAGTTCCTCTAAGAGCAGTGGTAGAGGATGTCGACCTGTTGCTGGACCTGGCAGGATCGGTTGGTCCCATGGAGGTCTCTCAACCTATAAACAGGCGCGGCAAGCGGCTCTTGGAAGAAAGCGTAAACGGGGTAGCCCATGATGAGACTAACGGGACACAATCAGATGGAAATCGTACTTACGAAGTCGACCAGCATCTCTGCCTTCTAGCTCAACCACCTTATAGCCTCACATCAAAACGCATGGTTTCGGGCCTAATCACCTGGACTGTCGAGTTCCGCCACCTGGCACGCAAGCTTCGCCATCTCGAACTGGAACGTATCATCGAAGCGAGATACGGCGATGTTGCATTACGGGTTGTCCGCGTACTCCATGACAAGGGCAAACTAGATGAGAAACGTCTACAGGAAATTAGCCTTCTTCCATTCAAAGACCTACGCCAGGTTCTCGCCAGCATGCAGACGGGTGGGTTCGTCGATTTACAGGAAGTGCCGCGAGACGCACTGCGACAGCCTTCAAAAACCATTTTTCTCTGGTTCTATGACCCCGATCGTGTCAGTAATAGTGTCCTGGAGGATACGTACAAGGCAATGTCTCGATGTTTGCAACGCCTGCGATTCGAACGGAATCGATTGA